TTGAGAATAATCTTTGACGTTTACTATGAATCTTCATTGTGATTCCCTGAGTTTAGTCTTAGCATTATTAATTTTGAATATTTTATTTGAGTTACAAATCGGACGTAATAATGGGAAGCATGTTACTTTCACCAATTTCGAACTCTATAGGGGCAATATTGCCAAAGAAGTGAAGGAACACATGAATCCGAGTTCTTTCATCAGTAGATATTTCTCTATCACTCCTGATCTTAATAAGGTAGTTGTAGAACCTAATTATTAGTTTTTCATTCATACCATGTAGTGAAATATTCGCATTTTTATGTATTGAAGGTCAGGTTTCAGCAACATTTTTTTATTTCTTAAATAAAGCATATATTATATTCTTGTCATAAATCTTGAAAATTGTCACATGATTTTTTATTTATTACTATACTAACTCGAACTTTTGAAAAAATATTATCAAACATGCAATCTGAGATTGATTCATTGAGAGCAATAAATTCAAAACTCTTAGCCGAGATTACAAAACTTAGAAAGGAGAATACCGAAGTCAAGGCTAAGAATGTGAAGTTAAAGCATGCTTTAGAAGAACATGAAGCTAGATTTACGAACCTAAAACAGAAAGATAAAGAAAAGGCAACCCTTATTGCTAAATTAGATTATGATATTAAGAAAATCAAACAATCTTTAGCTAGTACTAGTTCTGTCGAGAACTCTGATATATGTCAACCTATTTGCACAGAAATTAAGACATTGGAAGAAAAAGAGACAGATGTTTTCTTAAATAAGATGCATAAGAAAAGCGTTGGCAATGAAATTAGAAAATGCAATAAGGAGAAGAAACTTCTGCAAGAATTAGCTATCTAGGAGACGCCTTCAATTTTCCAGAATACTACATCTAACTGCTACGAGCGAAAGAATATGCAGGACATTTCAGCTTGTGAAAACTTGATTAAAGAAATATCTACTAGTATCAGCTGTAACACATTTATCCAGAATCAGCTAAGAGGTATTTCGCATGACATTATATCTCAAGTGAATAAAATGTCGCTAACTTCAGATCAGAGAAAATCAGATATTTTACAAAATATAGCTAATTTATATGAAAAGGCTTGTGATGTAAAAGATGTATCGATAAAGCTAATCAGGCAGAAATTTTATGCTGGAGTAATTTTATTATAGCATTTGAAAAAGATTTGATGAAATTGTGGCTAAAGATAGAGTAGGCATAAAAAAAGCCAAAGGACTAATTTATGATTTCATACTTACACAGAATCTTGATACTAAGCGTCCTGCTCTATATAAGAAAATTTAAAGAGCTAGGAAGATTTACAGGTTAACTGAAAAAATAGGATTAGATAAAATTAAACTTATCAAATCATATAGTGCAAACAGTATTTCAAAATTCACCAATGAAGAAATTCAAAGAGTCATAGATCACTTTATCAAAAATCCCAATATGGAATTCACTGATGATTCTGAGAACATAGAACAAAATAATGAGATCCTAGAGGAATCTGATCAAATTAATGTATTGGAGGTCTTGCCTCCAAAGGAAGCAACTGCATCTATCTTATTAACCCATATTTCTAACACTTCTGATAATTCCAAAGAAGAGGCGTGGTTTAATGAAGATATGTTTTTCAATGAGGTGAATCCCACTAAAGTGAATGCTGTCACTTCAAATAATAATATGTATTTTAATGAGACAAATGAAGTAGTGTCTTCAGAACTAGATAATATGCATAATTGCGACTCTGATCCTAATAGTAATTCTGAAGATGAGATACCAAACGATTTAGATAATGATAGATATAATGAAACAGTAAATATAATGAATATGGTGAATGTGATAAAGGTTATTACTATTTTGAGGGAAGATATGAAAGAAAAAGCTCACTAATGATAAGTCCTATTATCTCACCGGTAACTGCCTAAAAGAATTATTTGGCGAATCAATTACTCGCATTGATAGAATTATGCGAAATCATATTTTTTTCGAATCATGTAGGTAGATTTAGCTGAACATATATCATGCGTAGTAAAATGTCACTAATTTTTATCATATGATTAGCTAGTAGATCCCATATTTCTATTGGCTGGAAGTGACAAAAGTCTTCACAGATATCATATGACATAGTATATATCACAAGCTAAAACTTTCGAACTTTTTTGTATTAATTTTCACATGTATTTTTTACTTCCAATGATGTAATAATAACCAATCATAAATAAAAAAAAAGAAAATTAATTTTTGCTAATCGCTCATATTACATATAACACAATAGATCATTGGCACTATACATGAAGTCGAAATGGATCATTTCGGATATCCGAAATGGTCGAAATGGTCGAAATCATTTCGACCATTGGAG